ATAAGTCGATATCTCGTGGTTACTCTAGAACCGAAGGGTCTAAGCACTAAGATCGAAACATTCTTTTGTCTAGAAAGCTTAAAAGCTTTGTTCTAAAGTAGGGTCCAGGTCCCTCATAAGATCCTCTTAACGTTCTCAGAATATCAACGGCATTTGATTAACAGTAGTCTGATAAAAAAGATATATTTTAAAATATAAATTTTAAAATTTCTCTTTACGTTTCTTATAATTACTACACACATTTGTCACACGTCTTTTAATAAAATAATTAAATAATATATTTATTGCAAAAATTACACTTTATGATTAAAAACATGAAATATTCTTAATCAACACATTTCTTTATCTTGATCTTGATCTTTATCTTGATTAGTAGAGATCAAAGAAACTTTACATAAAGAACTTATATAAAGTAAAAAAAAAAATAATATCTATACAAGAGGATTACAATATACCAATGCAATAAGAAATTCCCATTATTAGACGTGTATATCCGTTAGAAATAAAAACGTCGTTAATGTCGACGACGATGGGCACAACGCGAAGGCCCACGCCAAGCGGAAAGCAAAGCGAGCAACAAAATAAAAGCTACTGCGGAGCCGGCGTTATAGACATGCTCGCGCCTCCATCCCCTTGCCGCCCTCGCGCTTACTCGCTGCGGGGTAGTTGGCGTCCATTCCTTCTTTCTTTTAATCTTACTTTTCCCGCAAACGGGCAGCCAGGCGTTAATTCAACGGCATTGATTGCCACACGGCAATCCCCCACCAGTTTTGTGCGAACGAGCGAGAAAGAGAAAGAGAGAGAAAATGAGGGAGTGAGATCACCCCTCGGCTCCTTGCGCTTCTAGCTTCTAGCGTACCCGGTAAGGAACGACGCTTCCCTTTCCTTCTTCGATTCCCCGCATCGTTTCCTCGACTACATTCTCTTACTTGGCTATTCTTTCGAATCACAACATGATAGGAATGCTTATTTCCACGCTTCAATTGCGGTTTTTAATATCGTAATAGGAGTCGGTGACAATGTTACACTTTCTAATGTATTAAAATATTTTATCTGTAAATTATTTTTAGTTTATTTATTCCATCTACGTTTACTTTTTTCCAATTTGCCATTCTATTTTTCCCAAATAAATTTTTTACAAATACCTTTTACAATTGATATTGACGTAAAAAGGAAAATCAGTTTGTTGAGTAAATGATGTAAAAAGGAAAATTCAATTCGTTCCTGTTATTACATGAAAGATACGAAAGCGTCAAAAATGAACGAGGTACACACGTCAAGCAGTTTTAATATTACATTTACCAAGCAGTTTTAATATCACGCGTAATAAGAAGATGAGCAGCAACTTTATGACGATGGTCGAGCTCAGCGCTCTCGTTTGATGCAAACGATCGAGATAAATGGTCCAAAGGGTGTGGACTCGAGATGGACGAGAGTGTCCCTGGGGTTGCCGCCAGGAACATCGGGGGAGACACAAAGAGGGAGAAGAGAAGAAGGTAGGGGTCGAGTGCCCGGGGTCAATCTATAATAAAGCTGGCGTTATCTCGACCGGCTAGCGTGAACGAAGGCTAGAGGCTCGTAAAAAAAGGGAGAACGCTGCTTAAGAACGGATTACGGGAATGAAATCGGAGAACCGATGTTCGCAGCCGGAGTATCCTGCGGCGTCAACTTTGAGGGACGCTTGCGTCGCGATTAAAAGTAAAGTGTATTATTTCATACTAAACATAGAAGAGAAATATGAGACGTATCCCCCATTATATATCTGATTCTTGAAATTGTGCATTTAATCTTATTGTTTTGCAACGATATAACTTTAAGAATTATTTTATTACTAAGACGAATCGAAAGTTACTTTAATATATTACATAATATATTACATAAATCGAAGCGAAATAAAGTGATTTTCGTTACGTAAAAACACATCGTAACAAATTATTCTTGTATGCTGACATTTCCCTTAGATTTACCATGGTCATCGTTATTCCGAACGATTGAGTGCAGTTGTTAGCAATTGGTAATTCAGTACAATCGTCGAACGTTGAAGTTATCGAGGAGAAAGATCGGGAAAATGTCAGAATGCACGAGCGAAACAGCTCGTAGTCACTGAATATGTGAAGTTTCTTTGCAAAATATATTTAAATAAGGCAGATTTTAATCTCGCAAAGTAAAATAATTCCAGTAATTATGAATCAATAATTGTATGCAATGCGCATATTTAATTGTTGCAACGAAATGGAAATTATACATTCGTTTTTCATAGGGTGCGCTACAATTCTTCCGTAGAGATAGAGACTTGCTTAGGTATATCAGATCCATTATTATGTTACGCGGAAGAATCACCTGTCTGCCTACCTGTTACTTGAGCTAACGCGCGTGAAACTCATTGTAATGCATAAGGGGCACACCGACTAAACCCTTTATGCTAATATCGCCGAGGTAGATGTTACACTGGGATGATTTTTATCACGCATTTTAAGGCTCATTTACTTAATGTGCCGCAGAATATGCGTGCTTAGGGTACCATTTGCGCTCGAAAATGACCGCTATAATATTTTGACACGCGATAGCAATTCTTTCATTAATTCCTACATTGCCATTATACATTAATTTCTCACATTTACACGTAATATTATGTCATATTACCATATAATGCATAATTATCACATAAGTGTAGTGTGTAAAACTAGCACTGTAACTATTTTATGTATACTCCAAGATATTATATATTTAAATTTATATAATGCTCTCGTAAATTTACAAAAATATTATGAAAACTTTTAAATGAACTGACATTTTAAATTTAAAATTATGCTTATATTATAATAAATTCAATGGTAAACTTTATTTCGAATTGGAGAGACGAACCGACGTACATAAAATTTTCTTCCGTGATATTCGGCCGTAATTTCAGTTATTACAGTTTTACTTCGGCACATACCGTCCTGTATTTCTTGCGAAATCCATAATAACCAACCTCCGTCGCAAACAATACAAAAATTATGTTCACGAGAGTTCTGCAGGAGTTTTGCAATCTTTTCCCGTAGTTTCATCTCGAAGCGTGTTGAGAGCCCGCCATTTATTCGAGACACATGACGAGCGGTTGCACGAGTATATTGGTAAGGTTTATACATACGTGTATCTATGTACTTAACTCTATCTCTGTGTGTGCATAGGACTGCAAAAATATATCTCGAACTTGCGCCCGGCAACTTTCTCGATTTAGAAATGATTTGCGAGCATTGAGAAGAAGTAGCAATTTCTTCCGTTCCGGAAGCAGGATGCCGGCCTTTCGCTTATTGCTCGCTTATTAGCTTTTAATCTGTCGACGTTTTTGCATTTTATTGACAATTTTCCGGACAAACGCGAACACATTTCAGTTATTGCGTTTCTTTAATATAATCTTTTCATCAATGTTTATTCCCGCATAAAGAATGTTCTTAATAACTAAATAGAATGAATTATAATAATAGAACGCAAATTATTATGACTTACTTTTATAATTTAAAGAATTTATCTCTTTATACAATATGTTTTTGATTAAAAACTTTCTGTTGAACAAATTAATTAATTGATTAATAATAAGAATATCAAAGATTTAAAATTTTATTTGTCAAAGAAGCGAAAAATTTTCTGTCACTTAATATATGACTTTTAGGCCTATCTCATGGACACAGATGCTCTCATTGATGGTGCAGTTCCGTCATAAAGAATATCCCTAACCGTAACCGTAGTTCCTACAATCTCGCGCCCTCGAACGAGTAGGTTTCTTTTAATTAAACTGCCCCTACCTTCCCACCTAGTTATCCCGCCTTTTCCGGCAAAAACGAGATTCTCGAGAGACATAACAACTGGCAGGCACGCGTTATCAGTGCTCACCAGCGATCCAAGCACTTTCTCCAGCCAGTTTCCATCCCTTCTGACGCAGATCCGACACTGGCTTTGTTAAAACTCACTCCCGGGCTGTTAACGTGACACATTTTATCGTCAAGATATAATAACATAATATATAATATGGTACGACGTTTGAAAATTAGGAAGAATTAAAAGCTTTGAGAACTATAATTTTTTGTAGAAATTCATCTCCTATTGTTAGTCATGTTGAATTTCAAATAGTTTTATAATTAATTGCACATGTCATATTTTATAAAAGTTCTCAAATCTTTACTTATTTCTGAAAACATAATATAATTTCAGGGAAGGCGTATTGCATATTTAATCAGCTTTGTCGATTTATCTTTATGTGTTACGCGAAGACATAAACGAAGCGCTATGGCTCACGTTTCTCGGCGGAAATAAAAGGGATCAAACGCGATGGTATAGATGAGGACAAAGTTACGAAGCTAGGTGTCATGCTGCACGCTCATAATCCCGAGCAACGTTTCACTGTACCTTCATAGCTTTGTAGCTCTCGTAGCTTTGCTCTCGCTTTCTTCTTTCCCTCTCTAAAGCGAAATTACTTATAATATCTGTCAGCGCGGACAGACACAGCCGATGGCGCCGTTACCATCGCGCTACAGCAATCCCTTGGAGAAATGCTCTCTTTATTATCTATCAGAAGCAATCTACCGAACACTTTCCTCTTTGCTTCTTTTTCTTTTCGTTTTCCGTTTGTCTTTCTTTCTATCTTCTCTGTCATTTTCGCCTCGGGCTTAAAATTTACGACTAATTTCGAAGCAATTGTTGCTTACATTCATCAGAATTTGACGAAGCTATTGCCTTGATTAGTAAACGATTTTTTCCAAAGTAACTTTCTAAATGAAGCGATCAATTATCGTTTCTAAATCAAAATGATACACAATTGATGTTACATGTAATAATAGTAAGAAATATTTTTAATTTTAAATTATAAAAAATAGTCTCATACATACAAATTTTATGTAAGTTATATATTAATATAGTGTTAATATAATTTCTTTTTTGTTAAATATTTATTCTATATTTAGTAATATAATTAATAAAGTATATAAATTTTTTTATATATTTGTCATAAAAATGCAATTTAACATCGCGTAGTGTCGCTATGCAACTTTAAACTAGCTTTGCAACGAGTATGTAAAGATTGTAGCATTAAACGCAATTGGTTCCAGCTGCAGTAAATCATCTCGCGCTATAATACGACTGATCAACAAAGAAATCGAACCACATCGGATCGCTCGGCGTGCGTCTGGGAGTTGACGGCTTTTCAGGTTCACTAGGAATGCCTCGAACGTCCCGGCGTATAAACCGGCCGGCTAATTTAGACCGACTGTCCCGTGAAATTACTGGGGTTCGCGGGTAATGAGAGGGTGAATGGTGAGGAATAGGCCAACCCTTGGACAGTGGCCGGCTAATCACGGTCGCTCGTTAGCGAATTGAATGCGCCGCCAGTTGTATCGGCGGGTAGAAAGTCAAAGAGAGTTCTTTTCTGCTTTAAAAAGAACCTCGGCCATTGCCGTGATCGTCTCTCAAAACTCGGCACGTTCGCAATCGCCATCATGATGGCGAACATCCCAGGAAAGAGTCTGAAACAGTCTTATTTCACAAGTTGCTCAATTGACATCTATATTACAACAATAGTGATAATACATCTTATTCTATCACTAGTATCTAAGTAATTTACGTAACTCTTTTAATTGTTAATTGTATTTTAACAAATTTAATTAATTAATGAATATAATATACGATTAAAATTGAACAAATAATACATTTTATTTAAAAATTTGAATTTTTTTATGATTGAAATATAATCGAATATAAAAATGTAATAGACATTATTTCATTCAAAAAATAGTAAGAAATGAATTTAAATAGTTATATTTCTTCTTATTTAATAGTATATTGTCTCTCGTTGATCGAAAATTTGAGTGAGTCCCACGGTAAATACTATAAGATTTACGGAAGAATTGTACAATGCATCGTTTGTCGCTAACTTAATGGACACCCTATATTTGCTCATTAACGAACCCTCTGTCGCGAATCCGGAGCGCTTCCACCAATACGAAGGCAACGGTGACAGTCGAGAAGGATGCTGAGGAGAATAAGGAGAAGAAGGTGAATCCAGACGGTGGATGGAGATGGGAAGTAGAAAAGGAAGAAGAAGAAAGACGGGTCCCTCGTTACAACTTCTGCGAGGAGAGAAGCAATACGTCCAGCTTTCCAGCGACACAAATTACGTTTTCGAAACTAGCAAGCAGTCGTAAAATATTGCTCGCGACGTTTCAAACTGCTTTAATAAGAAAACGAGTTGCGGCTAATTAATCCGCACGATTATTAACGATTACAAATCGTTTCCTACGAGCGCAATCAATGAATAATTATAAATACATTTAAAATTTTTTTAAATATCTCTGTCTGTCAATATATCTGTCATTAATTTCTTAAAAAAATAATCATTATTGTTCAGCAACAGAATTAAATTTCAGATCTTTGTCTGATGTAGTAAGTTTCTTGAGTAATCTTGTAGATAAGTTTTCGACATCGCAAACACTAGTCTTCTTGCCACTGTGATCGCGATGAATGAGACGGCGATGCTATTACAAAAAGAAAAGAAAAATCGGATTCGATTTCTTATCAACAAAATTTTCTGTTGATTTCGTTGTTCATCTCATTGTCTCTTTTCTGTTTTTTCTTTTTATCGATCATTTCATGAATATTCATTATATCTTATGCAAAATATGTCGAATGCAAAGAAGAGAGCAAGGATCATCTAAACTGATATCATCTTTAGTTTGATCTTTTAATTGATTTTGTTCTAATTTTATAAATTTCTTTTTTCGCGATTTCGGTTTGAACCCTCCCCTCCCTCCCCCTTCATACAACGTGGCAACGTATAACGTTCGGTATTTAATTAACAGGAATCAATCAATGGTATTTCGTAAAGCAATAGCTGAGAGAAAGGAAAAGGAAAAGGAGATTTCTTAAATTCTTCAAGAAACTTATTAAAAATATTTTAAAAATACTAAAAGTAAATAAATGTTTATATTATTATACTATTATATTATATATATTTATAAAACATATATATAATATAAATATAAAATTAGATATAAATAGAATCAATTTTGAATATATTTCATTCCTTGTTTTCAAAAAGACGTGAATATATTATTAAAAAGAAAAAGAAGAAAAACCAAGGCAAAGTTCGATCTCGTTGCAACAGTTTGGAATTGATACAAAGAGTTTCTAGCTCGCTCTTCCTCGCACTTTTCCCGTTTTCCGCGTGCAGTGAAACAGTAACGTTTAAAACGCCGGACGGCCACCACCTCCTCCGCTGGGAGGGGTGGATGAGGACCTCACCAAATATTTGGTTAGTCTTTGATGGGCTTCGAGAAAGGACAAGGAAGGTACCAGCAACGTGGCGCGAGAGGAGGATCGCGCAGAAGAAACGAAAAGGTAAGGAATGAAAAGAAGGGGAAGAGAGGAAAAGAGGGATGAGGGAAGAGGGTAGAGGAGGTGGAGGCGCGTGCTAAAGTCCACGAACGGAACGGCGGATGAGCCGTAAGAGCCGGAGAATGCCGGGCATTTTTATTGGTTCCAGCTTTGGCTCTCCTTGAAACTCGGGAAGCCGATCAGCCGGACAGAAGGATCGTCGAATCTGATCTCATATGTGCCTATATTCCCTTCTCCCTCGACACACAGGGCACTTGCGCAAAGGTAAAGGAAGATTTTCGGATATACATTTATCGAGAATCGTTGTGTAGAATTTGATGCTTAAGGTAATTGGATCCTTATACGTTTAATGATACTAAAAATGATCCAATAGATTAAAAAAAGTTTATTAAATATAATTTTAATAAAATCTGAGTGTATGATAATGATGTAAATATATATATATATCCTTCGACACATATATAATATTTTTATTATATTACATATTTTTAAAAATATATTTAATATCGTAAATCAAACTATACGGCTTCAGAGCCGTAGGATGGATTGCATTGAAACTTTTACAATCAAGTTCTGACTGGTCACTGGGGGTATGGGAAAACTTCATTCGCGATACACATTTTCGCGATGTTCATTCGCGATGGCGAAGCATCGTGGACGCGATTCTATAAAAATACACGGTTTTACCTCGGAGGTATATCACCCCGCCGCCTATATTCCCACCGCTCGCTATCCCCCGCTGTACAATAACATCCCGCTCTTTCCGCTTTTGTATTTTGTAAGTCAATTCGAAACATGAATCGTATAATAATTCAACAGAGCTAAGGAAAACACGACGGATATTATTCGTCCCACCTAGTCCGCCCCTCGAATGGACTCCATATTTATGGGAACGCGGGGGTAGTTTGCGGAACGGTGGATCTTCGCATTTCCGTGCGTACGTTTTATCGCTTTTAAAACACGGTCGTGGTTATTTTCACTGTAAACGTACGAGATCAGAGGGGAAAATCCAGGATTAGAAATAAAAATCAATCAAAATGTATTAAATCCGCAGAGAACTCTTAAATAAACCTATATTTCAGTCATAGTTGAATTAAATAAAACGAATAAACTAACAAGATTATCTTGATAAGCTGACGTTACAGCTGAATAATTTTTGAAAAGATGTAGAACGAGAGAAAACTTCTTTATTTATTTTAAAGAAACAGGATGCTTCAGAAAGATGTAAAACGAGGGAAAATTTTCGGTAAATGTGCAAATACTCTCTTGATCTTTTGCCTAAAATTTTACCGGGTGGGCGTGGAATAATGTATGTAGTTCGCCATAGAAGTGAACTAGTTGCAATTCCAATGAGAAAACTGAGTGCTATGTGAGCTTCGTATCTCGACGGATTTCTGTCTTCTCGCCTCTCATACATATTGTGATTACTTCTCCGGGAAGAGGAGAAAGCGCGAGGAAAGAGGAAGCACATTTACTGAAGAACGGTATAACGAAGATGCATGTTTCTCCACAAACATGGCCATAAAGATGTAAAGGAAAAAGAATTTGTAATTTAAGAAATATATATCTTTGCGTACAGCAAAATTGTGGCACGGGAGATTTCTAAATGCCAGGTGAACATATGTTATGCCATTTCTCTAATAAAATTGCTCGCGTATAATCTTTAATCTTTAGCAATACGAAAGTTTTGAGAATGAATAGTCGTTCCAACTGGAGCGAGATTAAAGTAGACTCTAAAAAGCGGGTTCGCGTGGTGATCGATCGGTGACGATAACGAATCGTTTCGTACGTACAGCAACAACGATCTTATCGACGAAGTTTCCATTTCCGTTTGCTTTCCCGTTCTCGCGGTAGTCTGCCCGTTCGTCCGTCCGTCCGTCCATCCGTTCGTCCATCCGAGCTTTCCCTATTCGCATTTTCTCCTTCCTATCCCTCTTTTCTCTCCCTCCGTATCCCATTTTCATGGCCCGCTCGCATTCTCCTTTCTCCCCACTCGATATCCGGACTGATGCTAAATAGCAGAAACATAATTCCGTGAGTGCGAGAAAATTGCTTTATCGCGCGGAATAATGGTCTGTATTCACATGTAGCCCTCATAAGTCTCTTCCCCGATACTTGCACTTTTCGGAGATTGCACGTGGTCGGCCCGCCGAACCGCCCACGCGTCCTCTTTGCATCGCTCGTCGCATGAATGCTCTGTTCCAAGTAGAACCCGTATTATGGCAATGCATCGAGAAGGAGGGTATGCTGAATGGTTGCGAATCGAACGTGACAGTTCCACCACACGCGCTACATCAATGTTCTAACGAATGCGGAAAATCAATACCTTGGCCATAATGTATCGCTCTATCTGCAGTTGCAAATTATTTTAAATATTTAAAATTTTAAATTTAAAATTGCTTATAGTCACAATTATTGAAGTTAGAATTTTTATCAAAAAGTTAAATTTTTTAAGTAAATTTTCTTTTCATAGTTTTTATATACGAAATATAAAAATTAGACATAACAAGGAACGGCGATATTAAAATAAAAATTGATACAAATTTTTGTCAATTTAAAATCATTATTTAATTAAAGAATTTTGAAATGGAATATATTTATTAATTATATTATTTCAAATATATAGATGATTAGCTAGTATATTTTATTTCTTAACTAAAAATATAATACAGAACAGGAATAACATAAAAAAACAATATTGCAAAATTAGAAAAGAGTTTAACTTGCTGTAATATAAAATATAAAAATGTTATTATTTAATTTTTAATTACTTATATAATCTTCAAAGTGAAGACATAAATCTATAAAAATATAAATTAATTTAAAATTAAATTCAAATATTGATTAATTCAAGTATTATTGTTTACTTTTTTTTAAAGGTTGGAACAATTTTCTTAAGTTAATACTATTAACATTGGCTCATATAACATATAAGTCATATGACATATTTTATCCAGCTATTGCGTCGAAAGATACATACCTGCAGACAATTTCTTTTGCGCTTGGGCCCGCGGCGAGAAAAATTGTTAAGAGAAATTTTCCTGACTTTAAGTGACGTTGATGTACGAGCGTAACCGAGAGAACGCCTGCAAGAATGTCAGATTCCTTTATTCCTCACGAAAAGCATAGAAACCAACACTCCAATCGGATAGTAGGATTATGCAATTAAAAAGTATGAATTATTAAATTTTTGTAATCATTTTAATAAAAATTTTAATAAAATAAATTCAATAAAGTAAATTTAATATAAAATTGTGTAAAGACCTTAAATTTGTAAAGCCAATAATTTTTAAATTAAAATAGATATTAAGATTCAGAGGGAAATGTAAAGAAAAGAGAGAAAATTGTCGAGTGTATAATTAAATGTTTATAATTAAATTATATAATTTTACAAGTTCTTAGTTTGCTCATAATGATATATAAAATGATAACAATAAAATATAAATTGTAAGATTTCTTTAATGGACATTCTGGCGAAGTAGTCGAATCTGGTAATTATTTTTTCTTTAATTGTGCACTAATTAACTGTACAATCGAAGTCCTCGTTTCATACGTCAATGGAGACGGCAGCCTATAATTCGATGTACATTGAACTCACCGGCGGGTAATTAAAGCATTGTCAGAGAGGAATACGCGGACAAATCAAATGGAGGGAAAAGCGAAGAGAAAAGATGCTTCCATTTCGTCTTCAAATCCAATCGGTAATTACTATTCGTGAGTGAACTTTCAATGAAATTGGACTTACATTAAGGAATGCATTGATTGCAATATATAATTGGCATGACAAAATTATAAAAGTCAAAATAGTTACAATCATTAAACAATAATAAGCTATGACAATTTATGTGATATAATAATACCTAAAATATATGCAAATAATATTGTTCCACAAATTTAATTTATTATTATTTACTATCTAGTTTCTATTTAATAAAGATTCAAAAAATTCAGAAGAATAGAAAATATTTAATTTATAATTATATTAAATTTACAATCACGTTGCGTGTGTGATGTGTGATGATTTGACGACGGCGGATGATTTCCGTCATCGAATGCGAGTCGGACTTATGTGAACGCCCGACTTTTTATTCGCAGGGGAATGAAAGTCGTGTCGTGAGCGAGGCGGCGAGTGCTTGTCGACGGTTCTCTCTGAAAAGAGCGTAGCGGGGGTGTTGGCAAATACGTAGGACGCATTCAGATCAGTGTCGACCGAGGACCGAGGGGATCCACCGAACGGGAACGATGGCGGAGAAGTAGAAAAGGTTTTTCGGAGCGCGTCAGCAAGAGACATCAGAGGCAAGAGGCCACGCCATTTCCTCCGGTCGAATACAAATCAAATACGTGCGAATGTATCGCGCGTTGTAGTTTTGTACTTTGCAAGGATCAAATGCGTGAGGGACAAAACTTCGTTTTCGACAAAGCTAAGTCTCTTCACGCTTCTACGTCCTGTGTACAAATAATTAATGAATTCGTCTAATTCAATTTTAAATGATTGGATTCTCTTGATGAAATTTAATTTATTATGCGATATAAAATTGCGCATTTTTCGCTAATTTAATATAACTTTTACGAGTCGAAGTAATAAAATGGTTATTCTGTCGATTATTTATTATACACTGAAAAAAAACAACGTTTTTTTACCATAACGCTTTGCGTTTTAAATAACGTTATAGATACCTAAACCTCCATATAGATATCTCTATATTTTATGTTCTTGAAATACGAGGAGTCAAACGTTATAAATGTAACGACCTCGGAGGATTCTCGGAGAGCGGCTGGGAAGCCAGAATAAATATTGATACATGTCAAAGGGAACGTCGCGTGTAAATGACATTCCGGGAGGATCGCAAAATGCAGCACAGCGTAATACGCGAGACGGAAAATAGCGGCAATACTCTTGAGTGCCTCGGATAGTGGTTTGGGGGACCTAGGGACCGCGGGATAAGGATTTGCTTTCGAAAAGGGAGAGAAACACACGTGTGAATGTTACATACGGGAATGCATATGCAGGAAACATAGTCGATTTTAGGTGCGTGTACACCAGGCGCTTGCCAGGGCACTCGATACATAATCGAAATTGAAAATCAAATGTAATAGATAAAAATAAAAACAATTTCTTGTATTTTCTTTTTTTTTATTAAGCATTAATGTATAAGATTTTATTCCCCCTATTTGTGCGTATTAATATAAGCAATTTTTTAAAATTTACAAACTTAAAGAGAGTATAAAGATTAAACAATAAGCAAAAAATTACTAATTTGCATAAAATATAAAAAATTAAAATATATATGTAAATACATGTGTTTCAATATTGTTTTAAGAATTTTAAATAATTAGACAAAATTATGTTAAATATTAAAGATTTATTAATATCTATTAAGTTAATTAATTAAGTATTAATATCTTTTGAACCTTATAATAATTATAAATACAATTTAATAACATAATTATTGTAAATGTAGTATTCTTAAGTTCAAACATTATTTTAATATAAGACGCATTTTGGCATAGACAAAAATATTGATCGCGAAACTTATAAAATAATGCAGTCTATTAGTATCGCAAAGAAAAAAATTACTCCGAAGCGATCATGATCGCTTATCGAACTTGAAAGACCAAGGGTGCCGGGATCGCCTCGACACACTGCTGATCTTCGAGGGTCCCATAGTCCATCCCCTTCTTAGATCAATAATACTATTCCCGTGGCAGCGCATGCGCCCTGCAGCGTTTCCCGTTACAACCCCCATACGCGAGCTGGTTTCCACCCCCGTTGAGCCGCGTTCAGGGCGCCGTGTACCCCTCTATGCAACATTCATAGCGCCATCAATATTATACGCGCGAAATAATAACCTGTGCATTTATTATGAATGAGATGATTCTTTTCAAAAGTTAATATAAGAAAATATGCTTAAATCATAATAAATGTGCATATAAATTACGATAAAAATTGATCAACAAATCAAGCAAAATAAAGTGAAAAGAAAATAATAAGATAAAAAAAAATGATTACATGTAATATGTCAAGAATCAGTACATGTAATGTGTCTAAGAATTAATCAGAAAATTAACTGAGTAATAGGAAAATGAAAAATATTGTATTGGATTCAAAAGTGGTTTTTTATTGTAAAATGTAATCTTTTCAAAGATATTTAATTATAAGTTTATCATTACTTATATGTATAATTATAAAATTTACAAAAATATTACAAGTTTTTAATGTGTTTCATTTATATATCTGCAAATCATTCAATGGATTATACATTTAAATTTGAAATATATGCATAAAATATTCAAATATATGCATAAATACATTCAGCATTTATGCATATATTTGAATATTTCGACGTGCAATAAATACAATATGCATTACGTATGTACATGATAATTGTTCTCCATTTGCATTGCATAGATAAATAGTATGATGATAAGTAGGCAACCTTGATACACGAATCACTGACTATACCATAAAAAGATGTATCTATTACGAAACTATATCTAGCGATGCGATAAACAGTGTAAACAACAACGTAAGAGATCTCGACTTGAAATTCCGGTTTTCTGACGATTCAGAACGTTTTCTGACGAGGCGGCAGTTAACGTTCCATAGTCATAGCGTTCGATAGGATTCGACTGAAAGAATCGCAAGTAATCTGCTTACTTTTTCATTTAAAATAAAAATAATGATTTTAAATTGAAAATATAAATCACATTACTCTTGTCCTGGAAAATTAATTGTAATTTCTCTTTGTTATCGTTGTGATAATGCATCGTTTCACTTATCACCAATGTCTGTTATAATGCTTAGTGAAAGTGTGTTCATAGTTTTCTAAAATCTAAATTGTGACGGTGCAATTGTATATTCAAAGAGAAAGTTGCAGCGTAAATTGACATGAATTAAAAATTTTCGAAATGATAAGCAAAATCGCATGCTTGCGATAAATTGCATAGCGAATGGTAACGGAAATTATAAGAATCAAGAGTATCATGGTATTGACTTTATCATTACTTGATCTCGATACGCCTTTCAATTGGAACTGTCAATGTTGAAGCTGCTTAGGTTACGTACAAAGTAAACATATATAATTACTCATCATACGATCTTGGCAAATCTCGTAATTAAAAATCTCGTTGACGTCATACTCCAATTTTCTTCATCATGTCTAAGCGATTGACAAAATCTCTATTAACTAAAGAAAACAAAGATTATCTTATGAGGTAACATTTATTTGATATACAAAGATAAATAATTTATACAACAATATTATATATATGCATAATTAGAGTTATTAAATTAAAAAGTAATTAAATTTTAATAGCATTTCTTCCTCGATAAAAACTGAGAGACCCCTTGTGACATTTTTTTTGTTGTTTTTTAATTTCGATATTATATATAAATCGTTGATTATAAAATAATATATTTTTGTCTTTTTATGAAACAATTTTATTTGCTACTTTAGCATTTGCGTAAAACTATAATTTATAGAAAATAAATTATTTTTAAGCACACATTTCTGGGGTCCAGTATTCAACTGGATGATTCCTATAGCAACTATATCTGATACGCGAAAACATCCAAAAATCATTAGTGGAAAAATGACCTTGGGTAAGTTCGATATCAATTACCCTTTCAAAGAATTCATTCACCGTCTCTTAATAATCGCGAGAGATCGAAATAATGCACGATGAACAGTGAGAGGAAAGAAGACGAAGCTTGAGAGAGAGAGACTCATAAAATAATTGCTATTCGAGCGCAACAAATAGCTTTATTTCTTAATGAACAGCATATTGCGAATACTTGGGCTATGCACCAGTTAAAAACTAGTTTGCATAAAATGTTACCAATATATTATAATTTTAATTTCTCAAATGTAGCTGCTATTCTCTGAAAAATTTCTTCTAAGTAAATATGCCTTATGAGAGAATTATGTGTTCATACAATGAAAAAATTAATCTAAAAGAATTTCTCGTTAATAACGAAATAATAAATGGTAAATTTTGTGAATTATATAAATGATGTTAATGTAAATTTACTTGCACATTAATCATGTATCAATTTTCTATTTGATTTAATTTCTAGCCTTGACCCTGTATTCCATGGTATTCATGCGCTTTGCTTGGAAAGTACAACCACGAAATTTGTTGTTGTTCGCGTGCCACATCACAAATGCTGGGGCCCAGCTCACGCAAGGTTACAGATTCCTCAATTATCACTACGGCCAACAGAAAGAGTCCGAACAGAAAAAGTGACGAGAGGATTTAACATTTATGCAAATAATGCGTTATAACAATATACTTTCTTACAAATGTGTAAAGTGCAAAATACTAATAAAATTTATTTCTTTATACTGTGAACTTTTGCTGTAAAATAATTGTAGCAATGTGATGCAAATAACAAGATATTACGATTTTCTATTCCGACAAAATGTGATGAACAATACGTAAATTTGAGATGTGCGTATAAAATATCAGTGATAATTATTGTTACAATTATAAAAAAGAAGTTTCTTTAAGTTTCTTTACATACTCTTATTACCATGTGTATATAAATATATAATAAATATACGTGTAAATATATAAAATATATACATATGTTCTCTCCATTATCAGAGTATGTTATCAAACAGTAACGCTCTGATACTCTCAGCAAACTTCATCGTTGCTCAACAGATTTATTACAACAATCTAAGATGCAAACAATAGCACGGCGTTAGATTTAACCATGGCAATTATTATAAAAGCGTGCGCGTAAGCGTGTAATATATTATAATAATTGCTAATATATTGGAAAGTCAGCTCGAGGGCCTGGCGTAATGTACCCTGCTTATTAAGTTATTCCGTTACTATTCTTCTGGTAATTGTGGCTAACGCGATATTTATAATTCAACGATCGCGTGTTACAAGACCAACTCGCACGCTTCGAGATATGTAACATTTTTCGCTCCTCGTAAAATTATCTTTCTTCAATCGCAACTCAACTGATAAGATTCCGCAGTTTTTCTGATATGAGGCACTTTTGATATTTAGAACGTCTTTGAATGATATATTCGTTCATACATCATTTATATTATTCGAATTTATTACTTAATAATCTTTTAATAAATTTAAAATGCATCCCCTGATTTAAAAAAAATTCGTTAAATATTATTTCTCATTTTTTATTTTCAGATACATTTTTTTAGTTTTATATGGACTTATTTCTTTTAAACAGAAATAATTTTAATGAGTTTATTAAATTGAAATTTAAAAGCTTATAAATAAAAGGAATAATTTATTTTTTCTCATTTTCTTTAGTCCTATTCCTTTTTTCGGTGTGTCATTCTCTTCTTCGTCTATCATTACTTTCCTGACCGTATCCAAAGGGCACAAGTTTATTCGACTCGGCCCCAATTCGGCAGTACGAACGAATGTATAAGAAAAGCAATAATTTTCTAGGGTAGCCTCTCGCGATACTATAGGGGCGCGGGTACGGCATGGCGGGCACTCGATCGTGCTAGGGTCATTTTATGGGATCTGGCACGGATCAGACGCACGAATCTATCCTCGGTATTTTCCGAATGCTAAGCCGCATCGTCCTTCTTCCTTCGATGTTTTTCGCTCTGCCTCGCTCTCTTTCCGTATCTCGAGTCCTGTCCAGGGATATAAAATCCACCCCCAACTAGCTGAATAAATATATATGGCCTTATTAGCCCCCTGTGCTTGGCGTCGATCATGCGGCACGCCTCGCTGACGCTCCTTTGCCTCTCGCTGATGAAAAGTTTTCAAATGACGTCATCCAATAATATTTTACAATGCTCTTGAGAAATTACGTATACTTTCAAGAAATAAATTATTAATTTTAATTTTGATATAAATATCGAATGCAATATATATATAATACGTATTTATTATAAGTGTATTGTATACTTCGTACAAAACTGACGTAATTGTAAAGTATCTAAATTTATCTGCATTACCCATTTTTGCTAGTCGCGAATCAGAATAATCGCTCGCTCAGGATACACGCCATCCCCATAAGACAAATCCGGCGTTTTCCATTCACGTTCTTCGGTCCTGCGGGTTTTGTCGTGCCCGCGCGGAGACAATTGGAGACTCGGATAAGGAGGGACGTGGAGGAGACGAGGAGCGACAGGGAGAGTCCTTCGGGACTGATTTCACAAACAAATGCCGCCGATTGAATCCTGGCATGTCGCAAGATGGATCGCTCTCTTTGAATCACAGATTACCGACCGCCTCTGCCTTCCATCTCGCCTCGCGTCGTATCGTTCCTACGTACCGCCACGACGTACACCGTCCTCTCCTTCGTTTCGCCCTTCCTGCTCCACTGGTCCACTTCATCCTTCGCGGAGGCGCTTCCACCTCCGTGAACGGTCCCTTCTACCAGGCAGCTCGGCAATTTGCCACATGCCTACGCAGCTGCGACCCTCTCTCTTTCTCTTCCTCACCCTGTCGTTACTGGCATCTCGAATCTTATGTCAACGATGACCAAGTCGATCAGTACCGTGAAATGTCGCGAAATCGACAAATCAATCAAAGATTTGTATTAATTGGCTATCGAATCAAAAGGGTTTAAAAATTATGTTTAAATAAATTAAATTTAATACAATTAACAGTCAAACAAACTGATAGATTATATGAACTAATCCAACACATTTACATTGCATATTGTATTAACAGTAAAAAATCGGAGATATGTAAAATAATCTGCAATCAATTTTGATAATCTGTCAATGTAAATAAGTAAGTAATGATTGAAGATATTAAATAATGTTAAAAGTAACAGGGAATTAACAGGCATATTAGGAAGAAAAATAAAGTGTTACTAATATGATCGAAGTTGCGCGAAGGATGGCGCTTCGAAAACGGCGTGCACAATCGAAGAACGGTCCCGTTGACGGATTCGAAATAATTCGATGAAGAGGAAAAGGGCGCCGCCGCAAGCGAAATGAACTGTAAAGCGGAATGCTCGGATTGTAAAGCCGCCCCCGCGGAGCTGCTTGAACTGGGATCAACCAAAAAAAAAGGAGAGGAAGAAAGAGAAAAAGAGAAAACCGAGGGGAACGACCCTCGCCATCGAGACTTTTCGACGCTGGGACGATCTTTAAATTAAGTGCGTCAGCTTATGACGCCCATGTAAAGTCTTGCAGGGTGGATTTTCGATTCGCGTGCACGAGTCGAACAGGAAAACTCCTGAAATGCGTGGCGAATTGTGCGCCAGCGGGGACCCCGAGGGTGAAATGAATCAAGCACACCCTCGCCATGCAGGACATACATTAGGCTGACACCGGACTTACCATTCGGAATGCTGACGATTTCTTATGTCAGGAATGAAAAGAAATAAGAGTGTTTCTCTGGAAAATCGAGAAAATATTTCGTAAAAATGAAAAAGATCTTAGTGTTAGATGTAATCATTTTAAATATATTTATAATCTTTTTTATCATATATGTGTATTATAATAATATAATATTGCAAATACATGCAATATTATAGGAAAAGAAATAACTCTCTTTTAAAATAATTAGCTTTCTTTTAGTAAATCATATTCCATAATGAATATCATAAAAGCAGATTGTGGCACACAAAGTTTACACTATTATAATCAAAACTAAACACTATTATAATCAAAATTAAAAATATTCTTTTCTAAAGTTTTTTAAAAAATATTTTTTAAATTATCTGAGTGATATATTATTGTAGTTATTAAATGTTGAAAGAACATAAATGTTAGTCGTTATTAAAACAACAAGAAAAATAAGTATTCCAAGATCTGTTGAACATAGCTACAAAAAAGATGATCGGAAAACATCCTGTAAAATTTTTGTTTCGCACCAACTGCGAAATGTATACACTCCTGGTGGATTCATAAAAATGTACTTTAGCGACCCCTGTAAAATAACATAGAAGTTAGGGTGTTCGGATCGTAAGCGCACCATCACAGCGTAAAACGCGATGTGTTAAAAAAATCATGAGTATACTATCTGGTACACAGCATTCCCCCAAAGTTATATAAGTATATAAATTCGATAATAATTCTCTTTTTCAAAAGATGTCAAAAGATACGTGATGTTAAAAGATACGAGTAATCTCGAGAAGTACACATCGTTTTTAAAATTACGTAAGATAAATATATAATTTTCGTAACATTATGATTTTCCACAAAAAGTACAAGTATTTTCGAGAAGTAGAAAGTTTGTTCATTTCCCTTGGATAAGTTTATGATAAATAAAAAACGAAGATTCACAAGGAATGACATGAACATAAGAGTGCGAAAGGTAATGGGGTTGGGTCGACGCAATACTATAGGATGTTTTCGTTCGAGGGGGTGGGTCAACGTAGATGGCAACATAATCCCCGATCGAGGAGCCTGGCACATGGGAACATGGGGGACATCTTATCTTCATATTACACACTCGTCGTGGTTCTCAACCTAAATTATCAACAATATATTTCCAAACGTGTCATATATTCTAAAATCGATTAGTAGAAATTATCTCCATTAATAATAATAACATGGATATTTTACATTTAATTTCTCCCTCTAAATATACACATAAAAATGTAAATATATAGATAAATAAAATTAAACATATTTTTCATTATTTTATTGATAACAAAAACGTTTATTGCTGAGTTTACTACAATCAACTTTATAGAAGAAAAGTCTACTTTTCTCCACAAATTTCAGAAAAGATATTTATTTTACATATTCATTTTACATATTGCATTTCTTGCAATTTTCTGTTAGTGTCAAATACTATCACGCAAAATCGATATCTCATAAGATTAATAAATGTCACATCGATTCTACCGATTGAATCGATTGATGCTGTATAACGCGCTCATGGATTACGTTATTTTAAAAGTTCGTAGAAGGCAGTAAACAACTTCTGCTTCGTACTGCGCGAGAATCACACGTGCTACCGTACGGAAGTAGATGGACGCGCTTGCACGTACACCCGCATACATGTACGAACTCGCATATAGAACGATTTCAGCGACTGAGAATGGTTTATGACCCGTAACCTTTCTACCCCCTCGCAACCTCTACCTTCGCAGATCTCCACCCGCTCTATTCCGCGCAACGTGACTCCATCCCTCTGTAAACTCGATCCAATATATTAGGGTTAGCTTCAGCAGGAAGAAGCTATCGACGCCGACCTACCGAATCGTCGTCTTTGCTATTTCTGCCCAAACTTTCAGACTCAATAGTTTGGGTCCTGATAATCGATAGGAAAACTAACAGCTTGCAGAAAGTAATCAGCTCTGAAAGAAACATGCGTACCGTAAAAGATGATTATTTGCCTTTAATTGATTTATCGTATAATAATTATTTTATAATCTCTGAAAATCTATACAGTGATACATCTATACAGTGATCTATACAGTTATATACAGAATAAATTTGTATATAATTCAATATAATTGAATTCCTTGCAAATCTTGAGACATGCAAATTATTTTATAATTGTTAAAGAGATATACGATAATAAGAATACATAATAATTATTAAAATTAATTCATAAATATTCTTGCAGAAAAAAATGCAAATTGCAAAATTTGTTTCTGACATTTGAAG